CTCCCAGAAACCTGACTTGGTAGGGGCCACGTAAACCTGACTGACGGCTGCCTATTTGCCTTACAAACACTGTTCTCTATTGTAGCTCAAACGAGCCTTTCTCCAAACTGACCGTTAGACCAGGGGCTCTGTAATTCCTTTCACTCCAGGATCCAAATGACAAAACATTGTGCCAGAAAAAAACCTCAAGGAGGTATAATGTCATCACCCAATACCCTGCTGCTGTGTAGTTTATTTTTAACCATTGCAAAATAGAATATTAGGAATCTGAAAACTGCTGAGATCCTGCATTCTTTATTTTTTGCTAATAAAAATATGTAAGAGAATGATTTTATTCAATAAGAACTAAGTAGAGACTAAAACATTTTCTTTTAACACGTTTGTAAAAATGTAAAACCAAATCTTTCTCAAATTGAGATATTTAACTTTGACCTAATTCTGTCACAAGGAATAATTTAGATATTGAATACTGAGGGGAGACAGTCTTCCTGCTCACATATATTACACAATTAAACTCGTGTGTGGAAAGTCTAATATCGACTTATTAACTCAAGAGGAAATTCTTTGGTCAAGCTGCCATCTCAATTTCAGAGGCCGCAGGCACATGTATTTATTTTATTCATATATTTTAAAAATGCAATTCTAGGTATGATGAGCTGTGTGTGCCGTAATTCTGTTTTCATTAAATAAATCTGTATCCTCCAGTCCTTCAAATATAAACTTGAACATGGCGAGGAAAAACCGCTTCATAAAATAATCTTCACGTTTAGGAAAAAATAAATATGTTCCATGAGATCAGAGCCCGTCTGTTAATGTAGATACACAATCCTGATGATGTCATGTGTTTAAATCTCTGTGTCTAACAAGCATAAAGCTCAAGTAATGTCACGACCTACGGCACTTCCTCTGGGAGCCGTATCATGCTGCGGCAGATGGACAGCACACAGATCGTATTCCTAAGTGACTGAGACAAAACCATGCAAACATGTAAGCACACACAAAAACATTCCCAAAGATTTCTCTCACTCCTTCCGCTAGCTCCCATTTGAAATTAATCTCTGTTCTCTTCCACTGGCCTCTCTTGGGCTTTCGTCTTTCTCGCCCACTTTGCTCAGGTTTAATTGACTATTGTGGCAGATGGGGTGGTCGATGGTCTGTGGGAATCAATGTCATCATTGTGGAACTGAGGGAGAGATTAGCAGCTAGTTAGCACTAGTGAGAGATGACAGCTGGCACCGTTAACCTCCCCTGTCACTCACACACTCACACACAGAGGAAGTACTAGAGTACAGTTAGCCTTTAGCCAGGCTCAGCAATTACACACAGGGAAAACACTGGTCTGTGCCTCGAGCTCGTCTCTGAAACAATGAATAAATGTGGCCTAGTATGCTAATCATGCACACACACTCAGGGATAATCCTTTTTTTTTTCTTAGCTTGTCACTTAAAAAGGAAGACGGAGAAAAGGTAATATTCCCAGTGTCAGTCAAAACCGAGGACTCAAGGAGGGCACAACAGCCCGCTATCTGAGATGAAGCGGGGATTAAAAAAGGTTTGAAAATCCAGGGCTTGAATATGTCTCAACCTATAACTTGAAGAAAACTAAAAGTAACAGCTCACTTAAATGACCTGCTCTGCCAGAAAGCCAGGACACGAAACGCTTTGCTACTGACGCAGAGCAAACATTCATCATGTGATCTGACCCAAAAAAGCGACTACAACAGCTGCTGACAGCGGCTCCAGTTTCATCAAGGCATCTGAAGAGCTTCACGCTGATTTGGCAGCAGTTGTTTATTTTACAATTTGTTACGAGGAAAATTCCCAAACAGACACACAAATGAGTCAATAAACATTCCACGATCCCAAACACAAAAACAGAGTTAGGCTGACATTGACATTGCCAAATAAATGTCATTGGTTCTCTCGTTACATCCACGTCCATGTCGTGTATTTCTATAAGCTCGGTAACATATGAGAGCACAAAGTGCCAAAAACTCTGTTTTATGAGAATAATTTTACTGACAAAGAGCATCCACATGTTCACCCAGCTGTGCTGCTGCACAGCTGCTTTAGACCACAGCTTTGACTTTGTGAGGGTTCAGCCAATATTGCACAATAATTTCATCAGCCCAGTGGGGGTCTTCTTAGAAGGGAAAATAATTGCCATGGCTGTAAGGTACACGGACACTTGGGAATCTGCAGAATTAACTAGAAATTGTGTTTCCTCCTTGAAATCATAGGAATAAGATATTTCCTGTTCAATAGTTTGTGGTGCATTTAACAGAAAATACCTTCATCATTTTGAAAAAAAATATTGGAACAATAGGAATAAAAACTTCCTGTGCAAAAGTAAAGCTAGAATCTAGATTTAAGTCTTAATATTTCACACACTTTATACACAAAAGTACTACAGTAAATAAAGTAGACAATGTCTAATTATTAAAGCATTAAGCAAAACAAAACGTGGAATCCTGACAACAAAGCGTCCTCTAATATTATATCACGCTAAGCAGCAGATTCACTTGAATATTTTCAGACCTGCAGCTACACTCACACACATGCATGTGTGTGTAAAGACATGCAAAGTATTAGGCAACCAGTGTTTAGTGAAAGATATTATTAAATTTCCTCCAGTTCCCACCAGGACTACCATGTCTGGTCAAGGCAGAGCAGAGCAGGAAAACTAACAGAGCTCATGTTGCTTCTCAACCATCTTCAGAAAGCTGTCTCTTCCATGACTGGAGGGACTGAGGGTGTCAGTTACTTGGCTCCGTCTTCATCTGGGTCAAATCAAGTTCAACAACAGACGCTTCTTACAATCCTTGACACAGCGTGTTTTGACATGACGCTGGGGAATTGACTTGATTCGAGCATTTGCATGGTCTTTAATGTGCCGAGTAAATCCTACGACTGAAGGAGTGTTAGTATCTATTCAAAACCCACTGAGCAAATTCAAAATGCACGTCTGTCAATCCAAAATAGAGTTGTTTTTCTTAATCCTTCTATTTTCTAAAGAGAAGAAAACACACATCTGAGAGTGGGGATCCTGACAGCCTCCTGCACCGTATATTTTGACATGAAAAATGAGTAGAAATTCCTTTCTGCTTTAAAACATCCAGAGAGCAACACAGAGGATTCTGGCTTGATCTTTTGGCTGACATTCATCTGGTTTTGATATGATAAAATATTAACTAAACATGAACTAAAAATAAATATCCCTAAAGATTAAACCCGCATCGAGCACAGCCAACATTGGCCCTGTCCAAATTCATCTGCTTTTCAACAGGGGTAATTTAATATGCCAACTATGAACAGCTGGACGTGGATTTAATTCAACTGACTGTATTTGTTACTCTTCTGTCTTCCCCAAACCATAAACCACGCTTGGATGGGAGCCAAAACGTGTGTAAAACTGTGCCAGTCAGCATTTATAATGGGACTTGGACCTATAGACTTGTAGATCAATGAAGGCACAGAAACAAGGTGACGTAAGGATCCGGAGATCAAAACAACTCAACCTGACTTTCCCTATAAAGCAGGCTGCGGCTTGCCTGTAATGATTTTAGCTTTGTGCTTATTGTTTGTTTGTAATAAATTATCTTTTTATTGGTAGGAAATTACAAGGTAGTTCGGCAGTATCTCAGTACACACCCAAACATGTCCACATCCCGGATACCGCGCCATACATTGCCTGTGGTAAGAACAAATACTTGCTGCAAACAGGTAATTGCAGTCTAGTTATTGAGCAACACCTTGCTCTGCGCCCTTTCTCCCTCTCAGGGGAGTAACAAAGGAGTAGGAAAGAGAGGTAACCTGATATAGATGGATAATGCGTGTCTACTATTGCACTCAGACAGTGTGTAACGCAGCACTTTTCTCCTCTATTGCTTAAAAGCAGTGCCCTTACACAAAGATACATTTCTCTGGAACTACCAGTCTCATAAGCATCTCACTGAAATATTGTTTTCTCCCTCTGCTGCTGATCGGCCAGCACCTTCTGTCTGTCAGCTCCTGCTCACATAAAAAAAAATGGCCGGGAGTTCCTGGGTTAGGACACACACATAAATCTGTGTCTACATGGGACAGAAACATGTAGTGAGAAGATGGATCTGTAACAAGAGGAAGGTAGATTGACTATCACCATTCCTCAGCCGTTTCACTGCTCCTTGATTTTTCATGCATGTGTCTCTGTGTACTCCACTGCCAGCAGGTTCTGAAGTTTAAAAGAATGGCTTGAAAACACAACCTGTTTTTTCTCTATTGTTTCTATGCAAACCATCTCTGTGAATGCTGACGATAAAGGATGTTGGTTATTTGCATACATCTTGCAGGTTAAGAGCTTGTGTTGTATCGCGCTCAGCAGTATATGCTCTGGCTACGACATAGCTTTCAAATTACAAGCTTACCTTGATTAGATTAAAAAAAAAAAAAAGCTAATTTGCCTGGGAAGGCCTGAGGATTTCCGAGGAGGAGGAGGTGGAAAACGCTGCCGGGGAGAGGGACATCTGGACTAACGTGCTTAGCTTACTGCCACCTGACTCTGGATAAACAGCAGAACATGGACGGACGGATGTATCACTTGCCTAAGGTGGATTAATTCAGGCTCAGCTAGTGGGAGTGTATTTTACCTTAGCAAACAATATTTGTTGTGGCATTTTCCATTTCAGATACTGTTACATCTGAGCTGCCCTGGCACTACCTCTGACACAGTCTCTTTACACAGTATGTAAAATCCTTTTTTCCTTAGCAGGTGTGTGACACTACGACGTACAACCCTGCAGGCTGTTGCTTTGTAGTTGTTTACCTGTTCTGCACCTTGTCACAAAGACCTAATCTTTAGCTGTAAGGCGTTGTTTTTTTTTGACTCACTAAAATATATTTAAACACAATATATATTAAGAAACAACAACATGTAACCCAATCCCTTTCTCATTCAGAGCAGCAGCTATCCAGTTTCCCCATGCAGGCACCGCCTGAATGACACACACATAAACAACCTACCTCCATGGCTAGTGCGGCTGTTTGCTGGTCATAGTGATTCAGGAGATTGGGCATAAAGGTGGTGTTGTAAGGCAGATCCTGGCACATTCTCAGTCTGATGGGCTCACAGCTAAACTCACTGTGGCTCTCTATGGCCTCCATATGAATGGACAGAGCAGGTGAGAAAAGGAGTATTAACAGAGAGATGAAGAAATAACAGACAGGGACTTTCTGTCTGCGGTTCATAGTTGCAGTTTTTGGAAACCTGTCTCTGATGCATCCTCTTCCGACAGGTGTTTGCATCTTAAGGTCAGACATTTCTCCTCAGACTGATGGCATTATCACTAGACAGCCGATACTTGAAGAACTGAGTCCATTTTTAGCGTCCGCAATAAATCCACATGAAAGAAAGAGAAATCCACAGGGCGGGTCTGCTGGGTATGCTCCTTGTACTGGACGTGTGGTGGAGTCCAAATTCATCTGTAGGCTGAGTGGAGCTGCTCTTTGTGTCAGTCTTCAAATTCGCCAGCCATTGGAGAATTGGCTTTTCCTGTGGCGCCTCAGAATGTGGCTTTAAATGCACCGTCTGAGTTGTCTCTCATCTAAAAACACATTACCTCCACCTCCTGGTGCTCCCCTGATCAAAAACACCTTCCATCCCGAACTGAAAGCATATCCCTGAGTCAACCATCAGCCATCTGTTGGAGGTCTCCTCTGGGTTTGTCTCCTCCTTTCACCCTGTGTGTTATTCTCACTTCATTTCCAGAGATGTTCCAAAGAATTGCAAAGACATCACTGACATCCAAGGGATTTACAATTTCCTCTGCAAGACACAAAACGTCTTTCTTATTTCACTGGCACACTGGATTGGATTCTTCAAACAGGTCCTGCGGGTTTAAAACACAAAGACAGGCTTAATGGTCAAAAAAAAAAAAAAAAGCACAGCAGAGTGGGGTTGTTTAAAGTTCACTGTATCCGGCAGTGTCTCTGATCAGCCACACCCTTCTTTATACACGCAGAAAAGGATTAAAATATTTGATGAAACCGACACCAATCCACAGGACGCAAGGCAGGTTCGACATACTTTAGCAAAATTGTCTTGGCTTGTCTCGGTGTCCAATTATCATCTGAGAGCGTTGTGTCAGCGGGGTCGTGTTGCAGACTGCTGAAAACACGTTCAAAGCAAACCGCGACTACTGCTGTGGTTTAAGGCGCTAATGTGAACGTTACACCTGCGGACCATCAGACACTCCCCCGCGCGCTCTCTCTCGTGTTTGTGTGAGGTTGGCCGGGCAACAGTCGCGCTCCCCCGCGATGTTTCACACTCCGCCACCCGGTGTCTTTAAGGACCAATACACGGGAAACTTTAGGGGGAAAAAAGCTCAATTATTTCAGTAAAAGAGCGTCCATTAACCTTTCGCGTTAATTTACATATGCGTCAAACTCCTCTCAGTCGACCGGTAGGAAGGAGCTAACTTGCGGCTTTTGTGAAGCCGCAGCAGCAGCGCTGGTAGCTAGCTACCGTTAACCACGTTAAAGAGCCAACTAATTACACTGAGCACCTGTGTGGCGCTAACGGAGGGGCACAGCCCGGAACATTAGCTCGGGGTTTGTTTTTTTTCTCGGGTGGGGGAACCAGGCTACTTTAAGAAAGCACAAACCTGTAAAAGCAGCCCCCAGTGAGGCATCTCCGCCGCGCTGAAGCAGAAACCACACGCGGTGACACGCCAAGATCACCGCTATCAATCTGTGTTTGTCACCGCAGTGGCTCAGCGGCAGCAGCGCGCTGTCGGTGCACGATTCCTTAAAAGCATCTAAAGCCCCGGTGTGCCTGCCCTGCCAGCCCCGCTGGATCAAAGGGAGGGCTCAGCTCCGGTCTAACGTTACCGTAGTAAACGCTTTACCTTGTGTGAGGACTACCAGGCGGTTCGGGCGGTCCTCGGCTCCACCGGCTCCGTTCACTGCAGCACTTCGTTGTTCCACTGTTTGCAGCTGGTTGCCTGCAGCGTGCCGCCGACACATCGGGGCCGCGGATTCACCGTGACCGCGCAGACGCGACATAATTGGTCCCACAGGACGCAGCATGTGAACTTAGTGCATGTGCCAGTTCAGGATTCACAGTGTTTACTGTCATATGTACACAATGGAAACATGTTTCCCTGCACTATGAAATTATATGTTTTATTCAATTTTTTTAAAGTACAAAAACAAGGACTGTATAACGCTGTAAATCTACTGACAGTATGTGGAACATAATGTGGGCTGGCTTACTTTAGAAGATAATGAAAACTGCTATATTTTATTCATACAGACAAACTGACCATCACTGTACTCATTGTTACATCTACATAATCTGAAAACATCTACACTTTTTTGCACCTTATATTTCTATACTGAACCTGTACATATGTTTACATACAACTGCACTCTGTATGCACATTTTGTTTTACTAAAAGCCATCACATTTTGTTTAAGAAATCAGCAGCATCAGTTACACTGCTGTTATAGAGTGACTTTAATACACAAAATAAGCTATCATTACAAAAATAAGCTATATCAGGGTTCTCATTGGTTACACTTGCACATACTACTTGTTTTAACATTATTTTTATATTTGCACAATTCTTCTTCCACTTCAAAAAAAATAAAAAATAAAAAAAATAAATCTATTTAATAACACTGTGGATGCACTGACAGCATGGCTGCTTAATTTCATTGAACACTGCAATGGCAATAAGGGAATTCTATTCTGTTCTATATGAATTGAGGTAAATTTTTAAATGGACTGCATGATAGACAAATCTCACATATGGGACACTGATCTGGATACTTCACAGCCAACTGTCCCCAAAAGCCAAATGACCAATCACTACAAAATATATATAGATTTTTATTTTATTTTTTTACAGAAAAAAAAAAGAAAATATTACAAACTAAAAAACATCAACAACTCTGTAATACTTTAACACACCATGACTTTTAACTTTTTGATCTTGTGATTTCAAATACATTAATGAATTTAACATTAATGCATTACACAGTCTTGTTGTGATTGTATCAGTCTACACCATGTCAATATTTATCCCTTACAGCCTCAGGATTAGTACTGTGTGCTATGATTCCTTTCCACACGATTGAGCACGGCACTAGATTAACTGTTTCATGGCTGATCTGATCTGATCCTCTCTGTCATTGAGTTGTTGAGGGGGGGGTCTGTGGCAGCTGAGTCTGCTGGCCCACATACTGGTTTAACCTCTTAATATGACCCCCCTTTAACATTAACCCACAGCATCGTACACGCACAAATGCACTCAATCGAGACACTGCTTTGAAGTCCACATTATCTTTAATTCAGGCAGTACAGAGTGTATTTCCTAAACATCCTCCTGCTATCCACATGGCGTTGTGTTTTAGCAGTCGGAAATGCATGACAGTGATGACGTCTTCCGCAATTGCGTATTCATGTAGATAAAATTTTTAATTTCCATATCAGTTTATCACTTCAAATGTCTGACCAAAGGCAAATAATAATAATAATAATAAAATGTGATTAAAAAAACAAAACATCTATCGAATAATAATGTGGTAGAAAAAATTTGAAAAGTCTAAATATTCAGTAAGTATATAAACTATAGCACAATTGCTGTATCTGTGGTGCGTTCAACAAGCTAATGTTTGCCTACTACGGTAAGTCACAGAGTAAACTAATGAACATCTAAGGACATGTCACTTGCTGCACTTACTATAATTATCTATCAGTACAAAGCATTTGCAAGAAGCTCAGTCTGCCTAATGTAGCTTTTAGCCAAATACTGTATCTGCATGGACATAAAGGCAACTGACTGTTTTCATTGTTTTACACCAAATCACAGCATCACACAGTTTACATGACATGGCTCCACATTAGAATTTACCAACATTCATAAGCGGCACAATTTATATGTATGGTCTGTTACAGACATCTTCAATACAATGGAGTGGTTCGGAATCTGGACAAACAGTAAAATATAAAAACATTGGAATAAAACTGATTTTGCTGGAGAAAGAATTCACGTTAACTAAAATATACATAATTCAGCTAAAAAATAAAATATGTTTTTGTTAGATATATTGTATGTTTTCTTCAAGAATAAAGGTTTCTTCATATGGAAAGACATGCTTAGCACGACATTTTCGATATCACTGAATCCACACAGTCAAGAAGGGATACTGATGAGACGGAAAGGAGAAACGAGCTTTAACACATTTATATGCACACTGAGTTCCAATATCTATGCAGAAAGATGTGATCTTTGGAATGCACCGACTAAAACGTACATATCAGTTATTAGATATGTCACTGTAGATTAACTTACCATTGCTGGGTTTCATTAGGCACTGATACACCAGATTAAATCGGCCCTGCTGTATTCAGCTCACAGCTTCACTGTATGTGAATTCACTGTAACACTCAGCAAGAGTCCATTCCTGTACTCCACGACTACAGTGACACTCACCTAACTGGCTGTTGGAGAAAACCTATCAGTCTGTGATCAGGAGCAGTGATGCATTTTGGGATTTAGCTGTGTTTCTCCTTTTTGTTCAGTTATGCTTCAGGATTGAAGCGTCGTCCCATCAGGCGTCGGCTTTGGGGAGAGCACTCAGCCTCTTCCTCCAGCTAGAAAACAGAATGAAAGAGAGGAAGGGGAATGATGAAATGAGTATGAACTGTGTCAGTCTGTGAAATCATGACAGAGTGAGCGAGAGTGTTTGTATGTTCCTTTGATTTAGCGGATGACAGACCAACAGGGAGTAGATAAATGTGAATAAGTTCAGCGTCTGAGTTACATCAAGTGTGTGTGCATGTCTGAGTCAGACAGAGATTCAGACAGACGCACACCATAGTTACAGCCCTTAAGCATATCTGCCGGCCTCACACAAAGACACACACCTGCTCTTTGATGTAGCTGTTCCCACAGGGTGGCAGCCCTCTGAGAGCCAGTACAGCGATGAAGCACCACACCGACAGTCCAGCCTCAGCTGCTGCCAGCACAGCACAGGGGATCCACAAAGCCAAGGTGGTGTCCTGAGAGACAGGAGGTAGTGGAAATGAGAAAGTGTGAAATAAAGTAACCCTACAAAGTTGACCATTTCTCCTCTGATGCTTTCTTAAATATTAGACTTTATGCATAAAGAGTTGTAGCTTCAAGAACAGGGGAAAATGGCAGAAGGATGGAGTAAGTTAGCCAGTTCGTTAACTTTCTAAAGAGAGCAGAGTGTTAGAGGAACGTGTAAACTCACGTAGATCCGTGTAGTATCAAATGGACAGCGGGCACTGATAGGTGAGCGAGCATTGATGGGAATCTCTGTGTCATTGCATCCTGTCATCAAACCCTCCCCATTGTGGGCCACAGTGATACTGATGGCCAAGAGGAGCCCAGTGCAGCATGCCGCCGAGATCAAGGTGTTTAGGAATGAGGCAATCAGAAGTCCTATTTGCTGAAAGCACAAACACATGGGGAGTTGTATTAGTCACTGAGTAGCACAGAACGAGCCACTGATATATCAGTGGCTAAAGTCAAATTAAATTCTTACCAGTTTGAGATTATGAAGGTTCCTCGTTACCACAATGGCAATAATCCCACTGGCAATGCTCTGTAAGATTCACATGATAAAATTATTCTCTCAGCTTAGCCCAAAGCAGGGTTCATTATCTTATGTGCCACTAATAGTAATCCTGGCCACAAGGAGCTTCAGTTGGAGACTTCAGATAGAATGAAATGACAAAGTATGATAACTGAGAGGCCATTAATGGAACAGCAGTGCTAGTCCGATAGATTTGGTAATTTGTACCTGTAACTTTTATCTGTTCTGTCTACCCTCAAGTATCCTGTATGGAAGACATTTCAAAGAAAAGTGAAATTAACACCACCGACAAGTGGCAGTTTATCTGCTACATGTATGTAATGAAGCTTGCCCTGCAGGCATGAATGACTGGTTTGAAGAACCAGCTTCTTGTAATAGGCAAGTTCAGTCTTGATTGCTGGGAAAAATACACAACACTATGACTGAGCCAAAGGAGCAAATCAGCTACGATACCTGAGCATACACTTGTTGCTCTGATGCACAGTGAGATGAATGTGGTTCCAGATCACTTTGTGTCATAAGTAAAACATTTTCATCAGGGTACAGGATGGTTTGGCCTTTAAAGATTCTTCAAACCATCAGTCTCTGGGTGCACAGTTTCCTCATCTGAACTGCTGACTTCCCTTTGAAACATAATCAGTAAACCTGAACTGTTGACTCACCAGGAGGCCGGAGGTGACAGCGATGATGTTGGCTACGGTGTATTCAGTGGAGATATGCTGGCTGGGTTTGGAAATGTGGCGAAGGATACTGCCATGGACAATAGCTCCCAGGATGAAGTTAATATGGCCGACCATGATGAGCGCAAGCCCTTTTTGCATCAGCCTCCTTGGGCCTTTGTCCTTATCTGGATGACAGAAATACAAGAAATAATTATATCCAAAAGGCATGAAAAAAAAAGTGTGAGGGTTTGTACACTTATTCACACAAAGTAAACTGTACATTTAACGTACACAACACTGCCTGTTCATTCTGTGATACAGAATTTGAAGGTCCACTACGAATAGTTCATTAGGAGATCAGAATAACTGAATGCAGTATATTTGCCAGTAGTACATTTTTTAAACATAAACTTTGTCAAGATGCAAACAAAGCCAGTTTATCAGGTGATATATCAACTTGTCAGTGCTCTCTGGTGGACAGATCAAGTAACACTGTTTCTATCGACTAAGTGTCATGCTTGAATATTCTCAGCAGGTAAATGACTCTGGTCGGCTCCATCATTTTTAAAGGACTTGATTTTCTATATAAGCTTTTTTTTATGTGCCACAACTCCATTATATTGCATGCACATATTCAGTATGTACTCTACATCACCTGTATGAAACATGAACCTGAATTATTTGACAACTGGAGCAGCGTAAGTAATGATTTTCATACATAAAGGAAGTTAAATATTAGATTACACAGCTGCAAGCAAGCGAGCAAACAAATAAAAAAACAAATAAATAAATGCCTAAAACTTATTTTTAAGTCTTTCTTTTGCATACCTATTAATGATTAAAATTGATAGAAACTTGATTACATTTCTGATTAACGCTGCTAGCAACAGTAGGTAGTGTTTCCAAAAACACGTTAACATTTATTACACCACAGTCCAGAGTGTAGAGATGCACAAATGCACCTGCATACAGAGAACAGGCTACACTTAGAGTAATAATGAAACTAAAACTAAAATCCTGAAAAAGGTTTGCAGGTTTTGTTGCAGTGGGAACAAAGAGGTTTGATACAGAATCCTGTCCATGAAAAAAAGAAAGACAAAAAACAGTATGTATTGAATATCAGTGTATATGAACACAAAAAGCATGTTGTGGGGGTAGCTGCATCTTTTTGGGATTTTAGATTTATAGTACATATGTAGTTATGATTTAATTACGCTCCATATTTGTTCACTTAAGAATACTTCTTGTGCATATATATACAGTTCTCAACAAATTTATTCGACCATCTGTCTAATGTGTTAAGCACTGTGTGTGGGTATATAGACCATCCAGCATCATGAAGCGCTTTAATGCACACTCAGAATTCACCTTTTTATACCCAAACTTGAGCCGGCTCACTGGGATTCTCTGAGAAATTAATCAAGAATAACGTTCAACCACTAAAAGTAATTTTTCTGTTTAGGAATGCAACTAAATAACTATAATTTGACAGACTGATACAACCTCGCTGTTCCAAGGAAAGTTACAGGAGGTCATTCTTCCCGATAGCAATAAGACTTTTTAATGCTTCAATCTAAGCACATTTGCATGTTTCTGTTACCTCTTATGTATTCTTGTAAATTTGTTGACTTTTTCTATGTTATATTTTCTATATTTTTTTAAATCTTATTTTATTTTACTTTATTTAACCTTCATTTCATCCCCTATTTTAATATTCTGTGGTGTCTTTTTGCTTTGTTTACCCCTTTGCTGAATATTTTCCTCTGGGATGAATAAAGTCAGTCTATCTTAATCAAGCAATAATAATGTGCGGGGTTTTTTGTGTTTTTTTGTAAAACGGTAAATTTGAAAATTCCTGGATAACAATAATAATTATATTTTAGCACTAAATATATCATTTGGGTTAAAGAGCTTCTACATGCTGGTTTATTAACCATTACAGAACCGTAACAAATACTTTGGTAATTACCAAAGCTGTTAATTTAGTGCAGCTGTGGCATAAACCTCAGACTGGATGGTGGTCTAATACATTTGTTAAGCACTATATACACACATATACAAATACCTATATATAGTATCTACCAGACACTGGTGAGGGGGCGTCTTAACCCAGTTTACCTGAACTCTGGGCGAGTCCTGAGTGAGTGACTAACATGGGAGGTAACAATGAGTGGTTTTTATCCAATATCCACATTATTAAACGCTTGTCCGCTTCTTTTAGGTTTTGACATATTCCCCTCAGAAACCCTAAAAGGTTATTTCATACACGAGCTATTTTACATTTGCAGCGTTTTAAAGGTGAATCTGTTCAGTGCTTGTGGGCCTGCGGTCAGTTTCACCTGTGGAGGGAAAACAATGTCGGACACAATCCGACGACACGACTCAGCGGAAGCGAGTTTTTTTTCTTCTTTTTTTAAAGTTTTATTTATAGTTACAGCAACAGAAACACTCACCAAAGTTGCACATCTCTCTACTGGGAAAGACGCTTTCCTCCGAATAAAACAATGTCCGCAATTTTCGAGTAACTGTTCCAACAGCGCTGGAGCAGAAAGTCCAAACCGCACGGCTGCCCCTCTGTCCACTTCCGGTATGGATGACGTCACGGAGCTTACCTGAGTTACCTGCGGCTGTGTGGACGGTGAAGGCTGCAGTTGTGTTTGCACACAGAGAGTCATGGACAGTTCACGTTTATTTTAAACTTTTTTCTTTTCTTTTGGTATTCTCACATTTAGAGCAAACCAAGGTACAAGTTCAATCCTGACCACTAGACACAGTCAATCTTCATGTCCGGGTTTTTCTAGGATAAAGTAAAACAACAACAAAAAATAAACAAACAAAAACAACAACAACAAACTATTAAATGGCAGTGAAATAATTTTATCAAAAACTAAATGTTAACATGACAGTCATGTGAAGGGTTACCAATTAGTTTAGACCAAAATTATCAAATACTTATTTTTTTTGGAATGTATGTAGGACTAGAGCTGTGATTGTTGATGTGACATTGTAATCTCAGGAATATGAATATTAATGATAATAAAGTTATAATAAAGTTACACCTTTTGTCCCTGGTCAATCAATTTCAAATTTTGAATAATCAGCTTGAAAAAAAAATCCCTGTGGTATTTATGTTGCAGTTAATGTCAATGAAACATCTAAATTTGTAAATTAAGTTAATCTAATGCGCACATCAGAGGTTTGTATTGATCAAAGTGGCTCCCAAAGCACGAGTCCCTCAGGCGCTTCTTCCCCCATCATCCTGAAAACGGGATTCTTCAGGATTTAGTTTTAAAATAAGTTGTAGTCATTCACGAGGAAGGGGAGATTGCCCAGAGGGGCGACGGCAGATAATAGGGGATGTCACGGTTTAAAAGGAAAAACACAAATCTGTAACACAGTATTAACCTATGTGCCAACTGTGAATAAAATGAGGTTACTAAAAAAAAGTGGAGTCCGTTATGATTTAATTACCTTCTAAATTTGTCCACTTAAGCATACTTCTTGTGTACATACTCTACCAATATTCAAAATATACAAGTTTTAGAAGATCCGATTGTTCTAGAGGGGGGTGTCTTATGCTGGTTTACCCGACTGGATTTGTCACAAAACCTATAAACCTGTGCAAATGGGTGTAAAACACAAACATACGGTACATCTCACCAAAAACAGTGAAGTGAAGCAGTTCACACATTTATTTGTCAGAACATTCTTCCTTTGAGTTCGTCAGGATACAAGTCTCAGAAAAAGACGCACATTTACGGACATTCATGTCATATACAAAATATAAGAATTTCCAAATGTAACCAAAAAGCTCACATCATGGAGAAACAGGCTAAAGCTGCCCACCCTGTACGATTATTTAATAACCAGTTTCATCACCACCAATAAATAGGGTGGAAAGGACAAGTACAAAGAGGGAGACAAAGGAGATGAAGAGGCATAGGGGGAGAGAGTTGGTATAAAGCTCTGGTGATCACATTGGTTTGATTTACCGACTTCTCCGTTCTAGAAGTGGTGCGTTTACATTCTCCTGGCTGACTTGAGAACAAATGTTTGGAAAATACAATCTTAACAGTTCACAGACGGACACAAAGACAGAATAAAATAAAGCAATCTATGCAATATCTTATTGACGGACTACACGTTTGTACAGCGAAAAAAAAAAATGTGGAAAAAGACTGCGACACAATGGTAGCCTGAAAACATTTAAAAATACTTAAGAAATATAACCGTTTGGATTGTTGTGCTTTTACAGATGAGGCGTGCAACTCAACAAAAAGCATCGGAGTAACGCTCAGTCAAACAGCTCAAAACAACAGTGTTCAATTAACTGGTGGAGTAGCTACAAGACACGAGAGTATAAGTTCAATAAAACACCAGAACACGGTCTGTTTGTGTGCAACAGTATATGAACAGTCATGCTTTTCTACACATACTGAGAATGTTGTATTTTCTTTGCACTCTTGCTGCCAGTTCAAGGTACTTCGCTGTATGAGCTTTCAGACACAGTAGTAGTCCACGAAGAGTTCTGAACCAAAATGTCACAAAAAGGCCACGGGCAACTCCCTGGTCTTAACATGCATTTAAACAAGGCCTGGAACATGTTGTATTCAAGTGTCTGTATGCTGGAGGACCCACTCTGTCTCATTTTTTTACCAAATTTTCTGTAAGCTAATGAAAACAAAAGCAACAGAAACAGGGAAAGTTGTGAATTGGCTCAGACTCTTAACAACATGGTCTCTGTGCAAACACAGTAAACCAAAGGAAAATAAGAAAAACACATGATTTGTTTTTGTAACACATATAAAACACACACTGATCTGTCAGGAAAAGGCTAGGTCCTCTTTCTACAAGATATGGCAGCCGAGTTCAGTACACAAGTCTCATTTGAATGACTTTTAAAGGCAGAGTAGCATGTGTGAACCCAACAAGCAGCAAATGGTAAAATCGAATAAAATAAAAACAATATGAAAGGAGGACTTTAAGGTATGTGTGCCAAACAGCAAAGCAAAATATAAAAACAAACACACAAAGAGAAATTCAGTAACACTGAGTTCACAGTACCCCTAAGTAACCAAGTGACCATCCTCCAGAGAAAATTGGCAAGGTGCCTTCTTAAAATGCAAAATGCAGTAATGCACGTACATGTTGTTCCGTATCAAAGGCTTTTTTTAAATTTCAGATATTTCTCAATAACAGAGAAAGTTGCATATCTGCAATCCAGTTTTCAAACTATTACACATATTTAACCTAATGGGTGATTGGCTCATCAAAAGAACCACAATAGTGGAAGAGCTGGTCATGTTTTGTCATATAAACAAGAGGGAGCCAATTTAAAGGAGAACCACGTGAAATGAGGGTCCAGAACAGGAGGGCCTGACCTATTTTATCAGTTTTTCTTTGGGTGGAAATGCAGCCCTCCCTCTGTTCAGTTTTATTGATTGTCAACAGTTATAGATTGTACTGTTGAAATTTTGCAGTACAACAGCAGCAAATTAGTTGTGACTCCAGGGACGGCCAGAATGAGTCTTTGATAATCAGATTTAGATAAACGTCAATGTAAACACCTCACATTAAAATACAATTGTGCGTTCGAGGAGAGAGTGAGTTTTAATGTGGCTGCAACAACTCTGATCAGTGCTGTTGGGATCGAGTGTCTGTTGCAGCTTTAATAAAACGTACTAGAACCGTTTTAATAGCCTACATACATATACATGCATGTTCTGACATTTAAAAACAAAATAAATGAAATCAATCAAGGTGGTTTCTCTGGATTTGTCTGGCTATTTGTTACAGATTTTGTGTGCTATAAGGAAGTTTTACCCCCTATATGGAAACCCCACTCCTTTGGCCATATTACTGCCTAAGGCTTTGTAGAAAAGACACAGAACAAAAAAAAAACAAAAAACACTGAATACACTCACTGTGTTGAGTAACCAAAAAGAACATGTAACAAGGTAGAGAGTGTAGTTCTGAGGAGACAGTACCATGGTCAAGGAAACCATTGCTAGTGAAGAGCTTGGTTGAATGTTTCTTCTAGTAGGGAGGCCACTTTGTTTTGGTCCATCTGTGTAGACAAAAGACATTTTTAACAATGCAGGATGTTACTGAAATACACTCAACTAACTGCTTGACAGATGTGTTACTGTCCAATATTATGGTTATGGCATACAAAAAATCCATTACAGGATAGAGTCCTTAAGAATAAATACATACACTCTCGCCCACAGAGAGATTCAATGACTATACAACGGTTTGTATGTACGCCAAAGTGAGTGGGCTCTAGAGTACATATGTAACAGTAAATGTGCAGAACGCTCTTGAGGTAAAAGCGTCTGTGTGTTGGAGGGTTTAGGCGAACATGACCTTGATCATGATCAGTCGCCTTTTTCAAACTCTGCTGAAACAGCACATTCACCTGCAGCATCGCACACACACACACACACACACACAGCCAATGTGAATCTTTTTTTAACACGCAAAACACCCACCTCACTGATTAAGCCCAGCTGCACCAACTCTCCAGCCAACTCTTGAACATTCTCATCTGAAACACACACCAGTGCAGTTAGTAATGGTAAATCACAGGCATGTAACGTCGTACTCACACATACACCTGCAGCTGGAAAAAGGTTGGGCTTCGGGTAAACACTGCATTCAGAAAGTATGGTCTAAATCCCACCACAAACACATTTAAACCACCAAACAGCAGCTACGGTGGTCGTTTTTTTGCATCTCCGTTCTGCGGTATGTTAGTGTGTATTTGATATTCCTGTGGACATTAGGATTAGGTGATAACCAACACAGTTAAAAAGTCAAAGAGTGCAAAGAGGGATTCATAGCAGGATGAAAACGCCAACATGTTTCAACCAGCAACCAGCTTTATTAGAGCAGAGTCTGTTAAAACATGTTGGCTTTTTAAATACACTTATTTTACTGTGCTACAGACAGGCCGAAAATCCTTGTTCATTCCTCAGTTTAAGAGTACAGAGTAGATTTTTTTCTCTGCTATTGATGTTTTACATTTTTTTTAATGTCCCAATAAGGCCTGTATTTGTCCCAGGAACTGAATTTACCTCGAGCTCATCAACAAACAACAGAATGTGAATATAAAGTTTTAAGCTAAAAACTAGCACCGAGAGTAGCATTGACAAAGGATGCTGCAATGTAGCTGCTCAACCTCTCGTTACATCAAATACCTACTTGTTCTGACTCTACCAGTTCTCCAACTTTTTATATTGCATGAAGAAAACATGCGAGTGCACACCTTTGTAGTACAAGATAGTTTTGGAAGCAGCACACCAAAAAACTGAACTGCCAGTGAAACAAATGTATGCATGGTTGCTCAAAATATGGAAAACATGGAAGCACAGGGAATGTTGGATGCTACTCCACTCAGACATTGGGGGGGACGACTAACCAGATCAGAATTTCTGATGTAAAATGTTTGACAACTTTTGTTGCATACTTTCTCACAACACCTACATAACCTCACTTTCACTGCTTTTAATGAATGGAGGGTATTTAATGTAAGCGCTTTTTCACTGTTATTTACCTCCTCAAACTGAGACATTCTTTGCCTGTGACTAGTGGGCAGAGGAGTTGTCATGGTCTATCAGTTTTTAATAACCTAGCTGTCAATTTACAACTGAACCAGGAATGTGGCTGGGACAACACAAACTACAGGAAGAGACAGAGTCTTCCCACATTAAGAAAAAAAAAAAAAAAAAACACCAATCGCCCACAGCTACATGATGGAAAATAGATATAAGTTGAGGGTGTGTCTTCCTTGTTTGTCTGTTTCTTGCTCTGATATAAAAGCATCTAACAAATTGGTAAACATTTAGTTTTGAGGAAACTTGCTTAAATGGTGAATGCGTGACCCTGCACAGAGTGAATCTGGACTTTGGTGTGTTGATAAGGAAGGCTTTAAAGAACATCCCCTGATATCAGCAACAGGGTATACTTTTCAAAGAGAGCAGGGTGTGTTTGTGAGACTGATTAGTTTGTATTGGTGTGGATAGATGTGACGTCACAGTACGCATGCCAACGGAATGAGGCTGACATTTGATGAGAGAAACAGAGAAAGCGAAAAAGAGCAGAAGAGATCAAATAATTTAAATGGATGAGAGCGTGTGAAACCCTGAGTGAGTGTGTGTGTGTGTGAATGAGAGACAGGGGGATGAAAGCCTGGGAAGACATGGGCAGAGGAGGTGACAGCTGTCAGCTGCAGCCTTTCACAGGCCTGACATTCCCCACACGCCTGCAACATTATACATGCCTACCATACCTGTGCGTGCTTAAGCATATTAGATCATACTGACCACATTATCTGACCAGTTGTGTGGTATATTCTCATTTGCTTTCCTTCAGTGGCCTTTTTTATCTGCAGCAAAGCAGCGAAATAAAACACTGATTTCTTGGTTTGTCTTTTTTTGAACCAATAAGGTGAGATTTGTTGGAAAGATTCACTGTCGCTTTACAAGATAATTTGCTTTTTTAAGACATTGTGGGAATTAAGAAAAAAGATTCTTGAAAGCAAGCTAAATATATTTGTCAAAATAGAAGTACAAGGTTTTCATGACACGTAAGCGACAGTCAGTCTCTCTGCCTAAAATAGTCTTGCACACTGTATATTGTGACGCCTTTCAGGCTCTCACTGAAACTTCACTCTCACTTTCCTGTAAGCCTCAGCACAAGCACATGAAGACACAGAGAGGCGCTGACTATTAAAACGATGTGGTTAATATGTGAAAGTACAGTGGCGTTAGAAATGGCGTAACTCTGACAGACCTAACCGTAGCATTTATTCCCCACCTCCAGTCGAACGCAATTCTGCCACTAACTCTGTTTACAAGCTGTATACTTAAACCATACAGATGGACAAAATGGCCACGCTTCACCAACACCTCCTCAATCTAAAGTCTGACACATTTTCACATTGATAGAAAAATTACACATGTGGACAAACATGTTAATGCCTCACCAATCCCATAAGGAAAGAACTGAATGCTTTCTGGTAGGACTTTAAAAAAAAAATAAATAAAAACTCCACACATGTAGATGTGCTTGTAAGGGAAATGAAACCAAGTAACACCCTAACTCACACACATGCCTGAAGGAATGGCTGCTAATCTTTTTTTTACCTGAACTAGACGTGCAATCAACATTATCCAATCGACTAATTTCTACACAAAGTTCTGGTGTAGTGTTTATTTTAAGTACTGAATTTTAAAACCTGTGAGAGAGCTGGTTGGATATTTTATAAGAAATCACCATGCTTTTAAGCTCACTGCATGTGTCATACAGAAAGGATGATATAAAGTTGATCTTACGAGGTAACATGTCACAGCTTAGATGTCTATTCAGCTTATCCTCCAGTTTCAGCAGTAATGTTAGCTAAAAGGAGAGACACAGACAACAGACAGTGTTATTGTTTTTCTGTTCCATTTGGCTTAGAAATAAAAAAAAAAAAAACTCTTGCAATATTATAATGCTGTTGGTCAATGAAGTTAACTTCAACTTTTAAATTAGCCGAAGAATAATTAATCAACCTGTAAATGTTTTAACAGAGACTCACATGGTACTTTGCTCCCTCCTCGATAGGTTCAAAGTTACACTGCATTTGAATGACCTGCAGAGGAAGCATGTGAATGGTTCTCAGATAAAAGTGGCACAGTTTCAGAGCGAAAGTTCACACTACTTTAGCAAATGTGCAGTGTACATCTTGATTCAGCGACAACTTGTGAAAATTAAGAAACGCTGGCATCAGGCTGATCACTTGTGAAATGGCCATTTTACTGCTTTTGTAATGTGCTGCATAAGCTTTTATACACACCCTCCGTGTCTCGAGCTCTGCAGGCTCAGGCGTAGGGGATTTAACCAAGGGGACGACAATGGGAGACTTAACAGTCTCCTGCTGAGCGTGCTGCGGACAGGGCAGCCCAAACGCTGTCATTGGATAAATACCATTCCTGCTCGGAGGAGGGGGAGAAACATAAAGAAAGGAAGATGTTGAGAAAACATGATAGAAGTAGAGAGTAAAGAAAAGGGATGGAGAAGTTGGAAAAGGGGTGGGAACTGCATTACCCATTACATATAATAATTAGTTTAAGACATAGAGGTCCTAAATGTAACAATTATTAACTGAGAATAAGTAGCACAGAGAGACAGGTAACAGCAGTGCTCATGTGTAAACACAGTGAAGACTGCAGGATAAATGTTTTACAAGAACATTAGCACAAATACAGTCAGATGGTCCACTACTGCCTCCCTGTGGCCACATAGTGTTGTATCTTTGGGGCTTAAAGACATTCAGTTTGCACTAGAACAACGTGACTTGCTGCACTGCTTTGCTTCTTACCTCACATCCTCCAGGAATTTATCAAGCTCCAAAGCAGGAAACTGTGAAAGCCTACAGAAAAAAAGGAGATACAAGTTGATTTTAAAGTAAGATAATATCCATACATTATCTATACACCACTTAATCCTCACAAGGGTCGCAGGGGGCTGGAGTCTATCTCAGCTGACTCAGGGTGAAGGCAGGGGACACCCTGGACAGGTATATTGTGTAACAGGATTTCTATTGTGATTATTTCTGCTGTATCTAACTGATGCTGACTCTCTCGCAAAGGTGGATATCAGCTTCTGGCACTTACTTGAGTTGAACACCCTCTTTTGTCACAGCAATGACGAGGTTGGGATCTAGGTTCTTTGTAATCTCCTCTAGGGCATTCTCAGGAATCATATCTGGAGAATTATAAACATTGATGAGTTAGTGAAATGAAAAATGTTAGAATCTGTGTCTACTCCTTCACGTGTGTGCTACAGACTCACGTTGGTGGCTAACAATACAGTGTGCCGCCAGTAGTTTTAAGAGCGGTACTTCAAAGAGCGCCTGGTTAAAAAGAAGCTCCTTGGCTGTAGGTCTTGTGCTGGGATCACACTCCAGGCATTTTTGGATTAACTCCTACAAAAATAAGCATCCGGGTTACACACGTTTGTATACAAAACAGGGAATCTTTAATAAACACCAAGGCACATTAGTATGCACAACAAAGCCTAACCTATGACATTTCAAGATACTCATTAACATGCAGACACATTATCTCACCCTCTGCAGTGGGTCTTCCAGTAACTGTATGGCATTGTTGATGGCTTCCTGAGAAACATAGGAGGATTCTCCGTTCCCCTGAATCTCCAAAAGCGCCATCTGCAACACATCAACACGCATTAACGCAACGCTTTGGAAAAAGCTTGTGATATCATGTATTATGGTTCCCATCTCACCTCTAGGGCACACATGCCAAATGAGTAGATGTCTACAGCCGTGGTAACATCATCATCAGCTACACAGAACAAGAAGAAAAAAAAAAGGACACCTTAGCAACTGAGCTGAGAATAAAGGAGATATTCATGAGCAGGTATATGACCCTGATCTAATGGTTTCTTTATGCTCAGCCTGAAATATAAATGCAACAACAGGCTGTGTAATAAAGCTAGGCACCAAATTTACTGACCAAAATGCATCCTTTGAGTATCTCAGAATGCTCAGGTTAAGTTGGCTCTTGAGGTTGGTCACAGGTAAACTGTGCTTTAAATCAATTTCAGCAATTTAATTAGGCAGTTCTTATTGGGCTGAAAGTTGCACTAAAAAGTTTGTTTATGTTGAATAAAAAAAAAGTGTTTTGCATGAAAATATTTAGATTCCTTAAACGTAAGTACTTCTTACTATTAATGCAAGGCACTGACACCAACACGATACACCACCGCCCTCAATCTATTTTGTTATGTCACTATCTAACTTTGTAAAAAAGTTATTTTTTTTGGTTCAAATTAAGATATGAAAATTCCTAATGTCAGTAAAATATTTTAACATTTTTTACGATATGTCTGTATCATCTGGCTAGCTGTCAAGGTCAGGACACTGTCAACATCAGTAACAGCATGTCTACCTCCATATTCTGGGGCAAAAAAGTGCAAGTTCTTCTGCTCCTCGTGACACGTCTTCACATGGCTGTTAATGGTGTCTGGAGCGACTGCAGGTGAGACAGGAGGAGAGAATATGGAGAACATAGAGAATCAGGACAGACAACAGTGAGAGAAGTGAGTATGGAGCAAGAAGAATCAGACCAAGGAAGTAGAGAGGAGGAACAATGGCCAGGGAAAAAAGGGCACACAAATATCACCTTTCTATTGTGTAAATATTACCTTCATATTGTGTAAACTCTTGTATAGTTCAGGAGGTTTAGAAGGTTGGTGGCTGGACCTAAGTCACTGCAGCAGTACGTACACAGGCAGTGTTTTTACAAACCCCACCACACACCACCTTTGTTTACAGCTGACACAATGTGCACGGTTGCTCCGTACAGGACTGGCAATCTCGCCACCAATTTTGTCACACAAGAACTCACGGCAGTTCTGTTGTACATGCGATTATACAAATTACTGTAGAATTATGTGAAATTTCCAGTCTTTAAATGCATAATTTAGTATCATTTGACTCCATCAACGTTGCTTCAGCTCCGCTAGCTAAAATGCTGGGATGAAACCGGTGTAATTCTACCTGATCCGATCTTGATGAGCCCGTTGTGCTGAATGAAGACAGTGTCGCAGGTCAGGTTGCCATGGATGATGGGTGGGTCACATGAGTGGAGATAACTGCACCACAGGAGAAAAAAAAACAACATTCACAAGTACATATGAGGTTCATAGAGGGTCTGGGTTACTTTCCATGTGAGTGCATTTTTCTGTGAAGAAAGATATTGAATTTAACATAATGTCTGAAAAAGTGAAACCAACCTGAGAGCAGACAGGATCTGTGTGCACCACCTCTTCCAAGCCTGTAGGACCACATATCTTATCAGAGTGCTTTCTAACTGGTTTCCAAAATGGACTAACTATGACTCGTGCCACGTCATTTAGCTTAGATCAAAAGTAGCACACACTGTATTTGAAACATCCAAATGTCACATTAGTTTTGCTGCACGGTTATAACCATGACTAATTCCTCGTTCTGGAAAGTCAGCGTTATGCTTTCTGTGTTGAAGGAGGAAAGAAGAAAGAGAACTTCTTATACATCCTTTATTTCTTTTACTAAAAGTACGTCATGCATAAAGTCAGTTGTCACCTTTTCATTCATGGTCTTGTGGTTCTTCTTTGTCTTCTTCAAAAACTGCTTCAAGCTTCCTGATGACATATATTCAGTAATGAAAATCACCTGAGGGAGAGAAAGAAACACCACATGGAGAGACCGAATCCAATGTAAATTGTAAATAGTGATACTGTTTATGCAGCTGACAGAGATGTAATAATGTCTTGCACGGCCTGAGACTCACCCTGGCCCGATTGTCCTTTGTGTCAGCCCAGTACTTGTGAAACTTCACAATATTGGCATGTTCCAAATGGATCAGGTTATCAAACACAGCCTTCACTTTTTCCTAAATCCAAGCAAAAAACATGAAGCACAGCACAATTATGATAAACTAGGATTAGATGTTGGTTTAGCGCTGACTGTAGTTTAGCTCTGGATAACAACACTGATAGAACTCAACTCAGCAATGTTATCATTATGGAGGGCTCCAGACTGTGACCATGTTCAGAGACAGCACCACTCAGTTCTAAAACCAGGAGCATTAGTGCGACTTGCAATCATCTTCATATATTATGTGACACATCAAAAGGCAACAAGAATTGAATTGTGTGTGTGTGTGTGTGTGTGTGTGTGTGTGTGAGATGGAGTAATTAGTGCAGAGAGCTAACATGAGGCTCTTGCCATCATAACAAGGGATTTAGACAGTTCTGTGCAGGATGTCTTGCTTAGCCTGCTGCTTGGCCTTGGAACTATTAATTCATTATTTAAAAGAAAAGATCATTCAGACCCTCTTGTGCCACCACAGTCCATCATTTCTACTGAGGACAATTCAGACAGCAGGTGATCTCGTGTTGAAAACGGCAAAGACTTACTTTTTACAGTAATAGCTTCTGCAGTTAATGTAGCTGATATATTGCAAAGAAGGGAAACAGTGTACGGTATGTACAGCCCTCAGCGGGGCTTAGCGTTTACGGGGAAAACTAAGTTTGTCGACTTGCAAACTTTAAACATGACGCACTCATAAAGCAAAACAAGAACATGACCTATGCAGGGACAGATGCACTAATGGCACTGCAGTACATCTAACTTAATGATTGTTTTCTATTAATGCACAATCTTACTTAAACAGCACATTGTTATTTTTATAAAAGGGATATTTATTACCAAAGCGTTTATATAGTTACGATGGGTGCTACTCCCAACACTTTCATTCAGGAGCACCAGTGCTACTAGTAGAACAATTCAGTAATAATGATATAATGATATATAATGCTATTAGTTAGAGCAATGGTAGAAACCTATTGACAACACTAAGCGTCACGAGTGGTGTCATTGTTAAAGTACAAATGAACTGATGAAACAGAGAGATGCAGCAAAACAATAACAAAGTCTGTCATAGTTAAAGTTACTGTGGATCCCACTTTCCACATTGCAGCCTCTGAGCTACAGTGGATATATATACGTGTTAGGACTGGCTCACATTAGCCCTGCTTGGTCACTGTCATTTATGGTTTGTAACATGTCTTTGTGACTTTATATGACTGTAATACACTCTTAATCTTCATGTAGACCTTTTTTTAAAAAGTGTTTTGTGTCTGTAACCTGCTAGTTTATTCCACTGCCTGTCTTGGCCAGGACACTCTTTTAAAAGAGATTCTTAATGTCAATGAGATTTTTTCTGGTTAAATAACGGTTATATTTAAAATAAATAAATCAATTAAAAAAAAATCACAACCTCTACTAGTCTCTGGGTGATATTGTCACAACTTTTTTACCAACTGATCTGTCCTTTTGTAAAATCCTGCACATGATAAGATCACCAGATCTATAAAAACAGACAATGATATCTTCCCTTTTGAACATTTTGAGAGGAACCACACCTTACACGACCTAACAGAGAAAAATGCGGTTTGTATTCAGTTAACTGTACAAGTCCAGATACATGAGAGAGCATAATCCCAAAAGCAAATATCGTTGACTGTTTAATTTCTGTGCTATAACACTGGGCCTCACCTCCAGCGGTTTGAAGTTCTTTCTCTCTGAAATCATGACTTCATTCCAAACTACCTCCACCCCTTCCTCTGTGTCCATTGCCAAGTATGCAGCATCTATCCCCGGAACATTACGCTGATTCACCTACATTTGAAAAGAAGAGAAAAATGGCTCATGAGATCATATTTAACCGTGCTGAAAAGAAATAAAACCCACAAACAGTTCACTTTTGTGAATAAACAGCAAAACTTTATGAACAGCCATCACCCTTCAGCACATGTGGAGCTGTGTTTTTATCCTTTTAAAACATTTTCATTCTTACCTGTTTTGTCTCCTCCGGTTACTCTCTTTGTTTTGTTGCTTACCATAACATCATTAAACTCAACTCAGATTAAATGAGTTCCTATCAAATGAACTACATTTTTGGAAAACTACAATGCGATTTAGGCAATCACCCACCACATACAGATAGTAAGAGCACAGCGCTTTCCTGGTCATGTGGACTTATGACGTGCCTCTGGTCCACAATATGAAAAGGGAGGACATCAACATGAGCAATTATTATTATAGCTTGACCCAATATAATGATAATGACAAATAATGATTTTTCTTTTACATTTATTCTTAAACTAGAGGGAATTAATGACAGAAAAACAAGCGATGTAAAAGTGACGTCCCATCAACTTAAAATATGTTCATCTCACGCAGATTAAAGTTACATAACTTAGGAACTGTGATTTGATTATTACTGTGCCACTTCCATGTAACGCAGTCCTCAACAGTAGAAAAAGATCCATTAATCCAGTCGGCTCAGCTCCATGACTATAGCACACATAACACAAGGTCAACAGATTGTCTTTCACAGCACAGCCTCCTCCTGCTCCTTCCTTACCTCCTCTCTACGCTTCTGCCAGCGGCCACACGGACTCTCCTCCAGGATGTCTGATTCATCCTCACTCTCATCCTCATCCTCTGTTGCTGAGGTGGCAGGAGGCTGCGTGGAGGCCCCAGATGAAGACGCAGTGCCACTTTGTACCTGGGTGGTATTACTCGACGTGCTCCCAGCTGTGACCTCTGGCTTCTCCTCTGTACCCGGAGCTTCCTTGACCTCTGCCATCATCACCGCACCTCGTAGCTCTCCTTCGCCGGCCTCCTGTTCTTGCGCTGCGACGAGTGACAGGATGCGTCTCGCTTGCTTTCTCTCCTCTCTCTTACAAACCGGTCAGACATCCATGTTCGTCTCTGGCCTGGCTTTCAGCAAGGTAGCGCACAGGGAGGGAGGACTGCAAACAGCGGCATACATGTTTAGGGAGTGTGGTTACAGCTAATGCTATATTTGGTTATAAAGTGCTGTCTTCTGTAACGATAAGCCACCTTTTAAATAAGTTTGCCAAAGTTACTGAGAGACGAACTCATGCCCAATGCCTAACTGGTAGCTGGGACTCAAGAAAACGCTAATAAATATCAGCGAAACAACAGTCAGTCAACTCTGGAACAGGTATTGTAAGTTAACTAGCTTACCTGTTCAGGCTGCTGCTAATGCTCATGGTTAGCTTAAGAGAAGTTTAACCACCCACTCTTTAGCTAACTTTCCTCCCCCCCTTGCTAACAAGCTAATGCAAGGTAAATAAACAATTTGCCAGCGCAAAGTTACAGAGAAACACGTCTTAATCTCACCGTCGGGCATCACTCTACACTGGGACGAGCAGCACTGGGTCACATACTGACGAAAAGGCAGTAAAAGAGACGTGTGGACAAAAATGTTAGTTCGTCATAACAAATGAAGGTTTCAAGTCCCTTTCTGTGAGCAGCAGTGGGAGGGGCGGGGCTGCGGCTCGAGAGCGACCGTCTGCGCACAAAAAGCGCATCATCGTAACACAACTACTACACGATCATAGACGTGCAACATGTGGGGCTGGAGTGATCGGTGTTCAATTAAATATACCGTTCAGAAATATAAAGTCTGATTTATGACGTCTTTTTTTCGAAACAGTTTTATTATTCATTAAAACTAACAGTGTGTGTCTGCAGTAGAGGAAAGCGCATTTTCAAAACCGTATTTATATTATTCTATCAACGGTTTTTTGGGGCCAAGATAACATGGCGACCACTTATTTAATCCTAAGGGAAGCTATTTTTCTTTTCTTTCTTTTTTTTTTTCTTTCTTGCTTTTTAGACCATAACTAGATACTTGGAACAAATCTTTGAAATTACTTGGCAAGAACATAACATTTTGGGTGAAACAAACTCTTAATACTATAAGTAGTATTCTAAGTGGAGCAAACTTTTAACACTATAGGTAGTATTTTGGGTGGAATGCACCTTTAAAATTATGTGTACTTGGACAGAAAATAATATTTTGAGTGAAACAAACCTTTAACCTCCTCAGACCTGGCCATGTGTGGACATCACATTTTGGGTTATATTACCACAGAAGTTAATTTTATAAAATTATTTTAAAATGTGTTTTTATTTTATTATTGTATGGAAAAT